CATTTCACGTTTTCTATGATACTCTACTTCGCAAAATTAGGTAATATTTCCCCCAAAATTCGAAAATCTACTTCCCGAAAAGTCGATAATCTACTTTCCCGAAAAGTAGAAAATCTGTCTACTTTTCAGGAAAGTAGATAACCAACTTTCCCGGAAAGTAGATATTTCCCGTTTTTTATGATACAAATTTCCCGTTTTCTATGATAATCTACTTCGCAAAATTAGGTAATATTTCCCCCAAAATTCGAAAATCTACTTCCCGAAAAGTCGATAATCTACTTCCCCAAAAGTGGAAAATCTGTCTACTTTTCAGGAAAGTAGATAACCAACTTTCCCGGAAAGTAGATATTTCCCGTTTTTTATGATACAAATTTCCCGTTTTCTATGATAATCTACTTCACAAAATTAGGTAATATTTCCCCCAAAATTCGAAAATCTCCTTCCCCGAAAAGTCGATAATCTACTTTCCCGAAAAGTAGGAAATCTATCTACTTTTCGGGAAAGTAGATAACGAACTTTCCCGGAAAGTAGATATTTCCCATTTTTTATGATACAAATTTCCCGTTTTCTATGATAATCTACTTCGCAAAATTACGTAATATTTCCCCCCAAATTCGAAAATCTACTTCCCCGAAAAGTCCATAATCTACTTACCCGAAAAGTAGAAAAGCTATCTACTTTTCGAGAAAGTAGATAACCAACTTTCCCGGAAAGTAGATATTTCCCATTTTTTATGATACAAATTTCCCGTTTTCTATGATAATCTACTTCGCTAAATTAGGTAATATTTCCCCCCAAATTCGAAAATCTACTTCCCCGAAAAGTCGATAATCACATTCAACTTTTGTATTATAGTCCAAGGAATAGATCCCACCAAAATCATCACCTCATTACTATGGGGTATATTGAAATACATGCAGTAGTTTTAATTACAGAATATATTAACAAACAAACAATAAAACAAATATATCAGTATGTACAAAAATAGACAAATACAAATTAAATCTAATCAAATAAATGACTCAACCGAGTGACAAAATAATGGACATAAATTAAAGACTTATTTAGTCTAGAAACTACGATGAACAACGTGGTTCGCTAGTGTGTGGTATATATATAGAGCACACATACTACTACTATAGTATGGTCCAGAGCTGGTACAACTGTAGTATGTGGCTGACAGAGCTGGTGCTACTATAGTATGTGGACTACAGAGCTGGTGCTGCTATAGTATGTGGACTACAGAGCTGGTGCTGCTATAGTATGTGGTCTACAGAGCTGGGGCTACTATAGTATGTGGACTGCAGAGCTGGGGCTACAGTATGTGGACTGCAGAGCTGGTGCTGCTATAGTATGTGGTCTACAGAGATGGTGCTACTGTATGTGGTCTACAGCTGGTGCTACTGTAGTATGTGGTCTACAGAGCTGGTGCTACTGTAGTATGTGGTCTACAGAGCTGGTGCTACTGTAGTATGTGGTCTACAGAGCTGGTGCTACTATAGTATGTGGTCTACAGAGATGGTGCTACTATAGTATGTGGTCTACAGAGATGGTGCTATCAATATGTGGTCTACAGAGCTGGTGCTCCTGTAGCATGCGTGGTGATGTTTCCACCTGTCATGTGGTGTCGGTGGTGACAGCCTTCGTCATCTGGTGTCGGTGGTGATGTAGCCTTCGTCATCTGGTGTCGGTGGTGATGTAGCCGTTTGTCATCTGGTGTCGGTGGTGATGTAGCCTTCGTCATCTGGTGTCGGTGGTGATGTACTTTGTCATCTGGTGCCGGTGGTGAGTGTAGCCTTCTGTCATCTGGTGTCGGTGGTGATGTAGCCTTCTGTCATCTGGTGTCGGTGGTGATGTACCTTCTGTCATCTGGTGTCGGTGGTGATGTAGCGTTTGTCATCTGGTGTCGGTGGTGATGTAGCCGCCTTCTGTCATCTGGTGTCGGTGGTGATGTAGCCTTCTGTCATCTGGTGTCGGTGGTGATGTAGCCTTCGTCATCTGGTGTCGGTGGTGATGTAGCCTTTGTCATCTGGTGTCGTGGATGTAGTTCGTCATCTGGTGGTGGTGATGTAGCCTTCTGTCTGGTGTCGGTGGTGATGTAGCCTTCGTCATCTGTGTCGGTGGTGATGCAGCCTTTGTCATCTGGTCGGTGGTGATGTAGCCTTCTGTCATCTGGTCGGTGGTGATGTAGCCGTTGTCATCTGGTGTGGTGATGTAGCCGTTTGTCATCTGGTGTCGGTGGTGATGTGCCGTTTGTCATCTGTGTCGGTGGTGATGTAGCCTTCGTCATCTGGTGTCGTGGTATGGGTGATGTAGCCTTGTCATCTGGTGTCGGTGGTGATGCAGCCTTTGTCATCTGGGTCGGTGGTGATGCAACCCCATCTGGGTCGTGGTGATGACCTTCTGTCATCTGGTCGGTGGTGATGTAGCCTTTGTCATCTGGTGTCGGTGGTGATGTAGCCAGTATCTCATTCTGTCGGTGGTGATGTAGCCTCTGTCATCTGGTGGTGGTGGTGACGAGCCTCTGTCATCTGGTGTGGTGGTGGTGATGAACTTTCTGTCATCTGGTGTCGGTGGTGATGTAGCCTTCGTCATCTGGTGTCGGGTGATGTAGCCGTTTGTCATCTGGTCGGTGGTGATGTAGCCTTCTTCATCTGGTGGCAGTAGCCTTCATCTGGTGGGTGGTATAGCTGCATGGTGGTGGTGGTGATGTAGCCGTTTGTCATCTGGTGTCGGTGGTGGTGATGTAGCTTCGTCATCTGGTGTCGGTGGTGATGTAGCCTTCTGTCATCTGGTGTCGGTGGTGATGAAGCCGTTTGTCATCTGGTGCGGTGGTGATTAGCCTCAGTCATCTGGTGGTGGTGATGTAGCCTTTGTCATCTGGTGTCGTGGTGGTGATGTAGCCTTCTGTCATCTGGTCGGTGGTGATGTAGCCGTTTGTCATCTGGTGTCGGTTTAGCCCGTCATCTGTGGGTGATGTAGCCTCAGTCATCTGGTGGTGGTGGTGATGTAGCCTTTGTCATCTGGTCGGTGGTGGTGATGTAGCCTCTGTCATCTGGTGCGGTGTGATGTAGCCTTCTGTCATCTGGTGTCGGTGGTGATGTAGCCGTTTGTCATCTGGTGTCGGTGGTGATGTAGCCTCAGTCATCTGGTGGTGGTGGTGATAGCGTTTGTCATCTGGTGTCGGTGGTGGTGATGTAGCCTTCTGTCATCTGGTGTCGGTGGTGATGTAGCCGTTTGTCATCTGGTGTCGGTGGTGGTGTAGCCTCAGTCATCTGGTGTTGGTGGTGATGTAGCCTCAGTCATCTGGTGGTGGTGGTGATGTAGCCTCAGTCATCTGGTGGTGGTGGTGGTGATGTAGCCTGTGTCATCAGTCTGTCCCTTGTTCTTCACTTCTGTAAGGTTAGATGATATAAATAGTTATATAGATTTAATGATAAGTAGATGGGTTCACAGACTTATTAATTGGCAAAGGCATCAGATACTTATTTACAGTAGGGTCCTTTGCTTAGGCTCGGTCTCTAATCAGTAATACTACGTCTACAGGAGAAATAATGAAAGTTTTCTGATAAATTTAACAATAATTACATTGCACTTGGACTAACCGAGGTTGGCAGATCACGACAACGATATAATATTTTGTGGTTAATACAGAAACAGCTTCATCTGTTATGTATTTTTAATTTTATCTATGAATTACAGGGGGTACTTATTTCAAGAGTTACTTAGTGTTTCCCCAAACACTCCTTCAGCCAGTTCGATTTTGGTGCTCGTCAGGAGAGGAACTATTGTAGGTGTTAAAGTAAACATTAGTTCGCTGACTGCTTCTACCCCCCAGGCCCAGTCCAATAACGATCTTCTTGACGCTGTGTGTGTGGACCTCGGCTCCCAAAAGTCTTAATTATTCTGTCAACACTCCAGCGGTCCGCCATCACTCACCCTAAAACACGCCTTCAATTATTTACGTGTGCATCGATTAACACACACACACACACACACAGCTTTAAGAGTCGATAAGCCCAGGCAGGATTACCATCGTTATCTCAGTAAGAAGTAGAAGGCTACGACATGATGAAGGAACGTGTCTGAAACTCACCAAACTGGAGGATATAATAATACTCACTATAGGACAGTAATCTGAGTGCCTTCTGGAGTGTAACTTATCATTTTGTTATATTATTTGTTATGTATCGAGTTAGTAAAAAAATAAGGTTACTAAGTTAATCGCTGGAAGAATTAATATCTTTTCTCGGCTTCGTAAATGTGTCATGTACATGTTTGGAAGCTTCATTTACAAGTGAACACAGTTAATAACAAGAATACAGGACGGAATATGATATATACAGTTGTTTGTTGTTTTTGTTGAGAAGGAAAATTTGTAAGTCTGATTAAGCCAGAATAAACACGTACACAGAAGGTGGAGGTGAGAGCCAGGTGCAGCAGTGACGTTGTGTAGTGTTTAGTGAGGCTCCTTCCTTCGTGGACAGCAGTGGATGTTTACAAAGTTAACCGATTTACCTTCAGTGTCTCTTGAAAAAGTTGCACATCATAAACGCCGTTGTTTTAGTCCATCATATAAGAGTGAACACCATTCTCGACTTTAAACATGTTGACTAGTGTAGAAAGTATCCTTGTGTTTTGAATTAAATGAGCCACTGTTGAAGCTCCTTCATAAAACATGTCCGCACTGACCGCCACCTGCAGGTAGAATAAAAACACCTCATCACAGGTATATTATACAGTTGTGGTGATGAGGCTGCTGCTGCTGTTATGAGGTCGAGCGGGAGAGACAGTGGTGGGTATTCCCTCTGATGCAATCGGTTGAGCTTCCCGTGACTTGTAAGTAATTTCAGGCGGAGGTGTGATTGTCGCCATGGGGAGCCACAGCTGGTGGCAGTACGGGAGAGGTAGTGGTGGTGTGGGTATTTGTGATTCCTAGTAAAGTGATGGCCTTAAGGCTTATTAACGGAATCATAATAGTGAAAGTGTATGATTCGTATTCTGTGCCCTTCTGCAGGTAGGCCGTGTGGCGCAAGCAGTGTCTCACCGGCATACAATACGATCTCTATCCTGAACAATCTCGAGTTAGGAAGGAATTATCACAGACCTGGTTAGATTAAGTTACGATATCCGTTTGTTAGGTTCAGTTGAGTTAGATTAGGTTTATTTCTCTGTCGGTAATGCTAGTTACGTTGTCTCTGATCCCATTATAAACAGAGATAACTTCGTTTGTTGTGTCTAAACAAATTAATATTATTTTGTAAGTTCAGTCACGTCTCTGTTCCACTTTCTCGCCATCAAAACGGACTTGTCTGTGTAAACCTTGTATATTTTTACTTAGATAAACATAAATGCTTTAAGGAACAAAAACAAGACGAATTTGTTCTGTGTATTGTGTTGTGTGTCATATGAGTAAACCAAATGATGAACAAAACTTTTAAAACACTTATTAAAACCCAAACATTGACTTTTCACGCAATAAAAGAGAGCAAACAAAGCGATGTGGCCTTAAATAAACATCTTACGCCTTCCCCTCTACAGGTGCACCTCAAGACATACCTGAAGAAGACCGCTGAGAGGTCCCCAATACCCTCTGGTTGCGCCCCCTCACACACACACACACCAAGGGACCTCCCCCCCCACCCCCCATGTAAACATGGACTCCAGTCAGTCAGGGAGTGTCGATTCACAGTTTCAAGATGACCTCTGGACGCAGCAAGACTCGATGTATCCTTCGAGGGCGGCGGTGCTGATAAAGTGGACGGTGCAGGTGGTGGTGGTGGTGCTGGTGGTGACGCTGGTGGTGGTGCCCGTGGTCGTACTTACCAGGATATACAGTGCCAGGGTGCACACGCCTGCAGATCGCGTCAGGTGTCTTGATGGTGAGTGTATTAATGGTGAGTGTGTTGATGGTGAGTGTGTTGATGGTGAGTGTGTTGATGGTGAGTGTGTTGATGGTGAGTGTGTTGATGGTGAGTGTGTTGATGGTGAGTGTGTTGATGGTGAGTGTGTTGATGGTGAGTGTGTTGATGGATTGTGTGGGGCGTCTGGTTTTATATGAATAATGACTGACTGACTGACTGGCTGACTGACTGACTGACTGACTGACTCACACACACAGCTAATATTGTTGATATCTATTAAGCCCCTCAGTCATAATACCATTTACAGCAACACTAACTTAGATTAGACTAAGCTTGATTAAGTAAGGTTAAGCTGGGGGTGTTTAATCTTCACATGATGAGTCTATAATTCTATAAAATGTAAAAAAAAAATAACACATTAAATTATTTATCAACACGGTTATTACACGATCATAAAACTTAACAACTGACACAAGAAAATTACCACAGATAAGACCATAGGTAAGGGACGGTGAGATAAGAGACGGTGAGATAAGAGACGGTGTTTGATCCTGTGGTGTTCCTGGGAGATCCTTTACCTACACACTAAGGCTTGGTTTCAGAATAGTTTGTCTGTCAAATTTTCCTCATAAAGGGAGATGTAAGAATGTATTGCATCACATGAAAGTTAGACATCCAAGCTTCATTCACCTTCAGATTAATCACCTGAATTTCTTAAACACCCAGATATTTTTCCCAGTGACGCATATAACAAAAATCAAGTTAATCTGACCATAAACGTGTGTGTGTGTGTGTGTGTGTGTGTGTGTGTGTCGTAATGAAAGCATTGTGGCGGCGCCTTGCCATAACTATTAAACAAGGTGGAGACGTTAACATCCTCTCAGTGTTATAAGGGAGTGTGGAGGTGAAACACGTAGATGTATTTAGGATCTGTGTTGTGTTGACCAATAGGCGATAAGTTTACATTGTGTTTTGACCCTCAAGCGATAACCTTCAAATGTTAGCTTCTGTCATTGTGTTAACCCTCAAATTGTAACCTGAGATAGTGTTAACCCTCATGTGACTACTGATACTCTAACCATTTGCGAGATATCCCAGTATTTATCTAAGGTGTTAAGATGCGACTGGGCAGCTGTCGCATGATGGACACACACAAAGGCGCGTCAGTCACCTTCAACCTCCTGCATAAAACTATTGTTCTTAAGACGAATATATCCACAAAACAAGTTATTCTTTCCAATATAAGAGATTAAACTCGTGTGTGTTATTATATTATATTAAACTATTGATACGTATGGATTATTTACACGTTATTTGTTAGTAAATATACTGAGGTGGCAACATTGGGCGCTGTCAGCTTAGTGAGAACCATGAAGCAAACTTTTCCTAGAGAGTTGTCAGTCAGTCACGCAGCATTATAATAAGACTTTTGTGGTGTGTGTGTGTGATAATGCCAGGGATTAAAATATATAGTGTAATAATTATTATGCCTTACTCTAGTTTTGTGTAATAATGATCTAATAAAACACTGATGACAACGAGAAGAAAAATGCAGTAAATTTTATCAACGGAGATGAATTGTCCGAAGAGATTTAAGACGTGCGAAAAATTTAACCCTTGGCGCTAAAGATTCACAGAAACTTCATAATTTCCCACGACTATTAATGCTTGTGCTGACGATTTCTCATATACCAATGCATAACACAGATCTTAAACACTCACTGGGGGGAAAATATACCAGGTTATTAAAACTCCCCTGACTCTCACAAGCTGGGGTATCCAGTTGAGACTCAGTGCACTAGGCTGTTATCTATCACACTCCCCCACCTCCCCCAACTAACTGTCTGGCAACTATGACTGTTGGTGTGACTGTGAGGGAGTGTGTGAGGAAGAGAGGAGTGAAGTACTGTGTGATGGGCTGGGTGGTGTTGACAGTGACGGTGGTGGTGGTGGTGGTGGTGACTCTCCTCGATTCAACAACAGGTGGGACTGAACTACATGCTGATGTGACATGTCTCGGAGCTAACCAAGGTAAGCTATGATGGGATGTGGTGGGGGTATGGTGGTGGGGTGTGTCAATGGTGTGGGGTATGGTGGTGTAGTGTGGCAGTGGTGGGGGGTATGGTGGTGGGGAGTGTTGATGAGGTGTGGTGGTGGGGTGTGGCAGTGGTGTGGGGAATGGTGGAGTAGTGTGGCAGTGGTGGTGGGGGGTATGGTGGTGGAGTGTGGCAGTGGTGGGGGCATGGTGGTGGGGTGGCAGTGGTGGGGTGGGTGGTGGTGGTGGTGTGTGGTGGCAGTGGTGGCAGTGGTGGGGGTAGTGGTGTGGCAGTGGTGGGGTGTAATGGTGTGGTGGTGGGATATGGTGGTGAGGTGTTGGTGGTGAGGTGTGATGGTGGTTATTGTGGTAGTAAGAAGTTATAGAAGGTGTTGATAGGTTAGGGGAGGGGTTAGGTTGGGTTAGACAGAGTTTGGTTGGCTTAGGTTGAATTAGAATGAGGGTGGGTTAAGTTTGCTCCTCTGGTTTCCTATTGGGTGAAGTGTGTGTGTGTGTGTGTGTGTGTGTGTGTGTGTGTGTGTGTGTGTGTGTGTGTGTGTGTGTGTGTGTGTGTGTGTGTGTGTGTGTGTGTGTGTGTGTGTGTGTGTGTGTGTGTGTGTGTGTGTGTGTGTCAACATTATCAATATTATTCACCGTTGCTGTCCGTTTCTCCCTGTTTATCATCCCCCTTATCCTTGACCTCCTGACAGTGTGTGTGTGGGACGGCTGACAATGTCTAGAAATAAAATGTAAAGGTACCTCAAATATATCTTCTATTTTCTCTACTCTAATCCTATATTGCTCTTTTCTCTTCTTTCATTCCTGTCTCCTCACATTCTCTAACTATCTGTCATGGGTTGCGTTGGGCTTCCCGCACAACCCATCCCAAATGTTTGTTTAGGTAGAGATAAGGTACCTGGCCAGCCGATAGGGGTCATTTCACGCCTCAAAACCACATTATAGTCGGTGGGCTTTAGACCTTGGATGGGGGTAGACCTCCTGCTCCGCGGACCTTAGAACAGGGGCCATATAGTCCTACCAGTGGTACGAGTCTGTGTGTGAAAATCGCATAGATTGTTGTTAAGTCCAGCGAAAAGTTAATGCATCCTGTAAAGGAAGTGATCACTGGTGAGGGCCTGTTTCCAACAAGAGCACTCCAGGCCGGCCTAATAGATCTAACGATTAATTCTCCAGGTTGACAAACTCTCCCATATAACTTACGGTATTGTGGTGCGACTGTGAGTGACTGACCTATCCATGCAAATTATAAGTCCAGTGTATGGAATTGTGCCAAATAAACGTAAGTGCAATTATTATCTGCCCGTATCTGTGACCCCTCAATTATTATTATCATTATTATTACCAAAGGTAATGATTGATTGGTTATGACAAAGTATAACCAATAACTTAGATGGATGTTGGAAGTTAATGGAATTCATTAAATCATCATTTATCAAGTACACAACGCATTGAATGCCGAAAGCAGAGTGAAATTCTAAGTAGTGATACACCATAATCTCCTGGGTGAGTAATCAGTGTGAAGGTATCTGAGTCCTATGGTAAGAAAACCACTTTCTTGCATTTAAAACCTAACACTATCTATCATCTTTCTTTTCTCTCTCATCGCTCTCTTTATCACCCTCCTCATCCTCTTCTCAACAGTGCAGGTGGACAGGGAAGAGTGTGAGGGCGTAGGATGTGTGTGGGATCCTCAAGGAGATGCCCCGAACTGTTTCTTCCCCCCGGCCTCCTCCCACGGCTACGAGGTCACGACGCCCGAGGAGACTACCTCTGCAGGAGTGAAGAGCCTTAGGTTGACCCTAAAGAACACCTCCGCCCCTGTGGTGAAGGATATGAAGGAGGAATTACTGGTGGAGATGATGGAGTATGGTCAGGATATGTTCAGGATCAAAGTAACAGTGCCAGGTGAGGAGCGCTACGAGGTGCCAGTTTCCCTTGATCTGCCTCCCGTAACCAGCTCTAACACCCCCAAGTATAACGTAACCTTCAGTGACTCCGGCAGTAGCGACTTTACCATCGTCGTGACCAGGACCGACACTCGTACTGTCATGTAAGTAGTAGTAGTATTGATATTGAAACAGCTTATATAGCCAGACGAACATAGATACAGTACAGAGTCGAAAAAATCATAATATTAACGTGGCTGGGCCAGCTGAGAGTCAGAGCTCTCTTGTAGGCACCTGATATATACACTATGCTGTATATTTTTACATAAATATGATAAAACGATTTTGGTGGTACAATAAAAGCAGGTATATAAAGTAGGTATGACAAAAACTATAAATACTTAGACAATAGATATTTTTTAAGAGATGATTTGAAGGAAGGGAGCGTAGTAGTGGTAGTGTGATGAAGACGGTTGTAAAAGGAAAAAGAATACCATAAATGTAGCACCTGACAAAAAATATTTCTTCATTGCATCACAAACTTTAAACAACAAAACAAAGTTAATAATAAACAATACACTGTTTTCCTCGCCTCAGCTTCGACACCAGCATCGGGGGGTTGACGTACGCTAATCAGTTCCTACAGGTGTCGACCCATTTGGCCTCCTCCTATCTGTATGGCTTGGGGGAGGGCGTTCATACTACCCTCAAACACGACCTACGTTACGTTACTTGGCCAATGTTCGCCAGGGACCAATCACCACTAGGGGTAAGTGAGAGAGAAGGGGGGTGAGGGAGAGAGAGGTGGGAGAGGGGTAGGGAGTGGATGAGAGGAGGGGTAGGGAGAGGGATGAAGGGAGTGAGAGAGAGAGGAGGGATTGAAGAAGAGAAAGGAGGATGAGAGGTTTAGGGAGTGAGAGGAAAGAAGGTGGCAAGGTGAAGGATAGGTAGTAAGAAGGAGGAAAGGTGTGAAGGCGTAACTTATCTTTGTGTTGTTGTCACAGCCTGGAGAGAACCTGTACGGCTCCCACCCCATGTACCTGGTGGTGGAGGATGACGGTAACGCCCATGCTGTCCTCTGGCTCAACAGCAACGCTATGGGTAAGATGTAATGGGTGATGGGTAAGATGTGATGGGTATTGGGTAAGATGTAATAACTCGTTTGGGTAGAGTGATCCCTGACCTCAGCGTGACCTTTAACTCCCCAGAGGCAGAGACGATGCCCTTACCTGGCCTGACGCTGAGGTCCATCGGGGGTGTGATAGACCTGTACTTCTTCATGGGTTCCAGTCCGACGGAGGCGCTGCAGCAGTACACACAGGTGGTGGGGCGACCCGTCCTCCCTCCCTACTGGGCTCTCGGCTTCCATCTCTGCAGGTGAGGTGGTTTTTACTCTCACGTGTCTAAGGTTCACATTTTCAAAGGTTCGTACAATAAATTATATTTAACTGTAGATATACAAATGTACATGGTACTTCCACTGTAATTTTAATGCTGTTTTGGGTGCAATTAACGTACGTACGTGTGTGTGTGTGTGTGTGTGTGTGTGTGTGTGTGTGTGTGTGTGTGTGTGTGTGTTTAGCTTAAGAGGAGGTCTTAGTAATAGTTTTTAAGGTGGTAAAAGCTTTTGTTGTTAATGGTTCTCGTTCATTACCTGCGAGTCTTCCCTCACAGGTATGGTTACGGTTCCCTTGATAACCTGAAGGCTGCCGTCTCCCGCACCCGACGACAAGGCATTCCTCAGGTGGGTGTCCTCCTTTATGTAACAATGAAAGAGAGAAAGAGAGAGAGAGAGAGAAAGAGAGAATGCGCTATAAGTACTCATTTACTTGATCAATAACCACGGACATCCTGTCGTATTATAAAAATTTTAAGAATTCGACCACAGATCCTTAATTATTTTGGTGGGTAAAATAATTAATTTTGCTCAAAATCTCAGCATAGGTCGTCCTTGACACGCTATTTAAGGATCTGTGGTCGAATTCTAAAAATTTTGATAATTAATTGTCTTAATTGTATCATAGATTACGAAGTTTTGATAATTAATTATGCCAATTGATATGAGGACATGTAACAACCAGAATCAATTATAGTCCATGATTCGATTGCGGGATATTAGTAGTCGTAATGATGCTGGGAAGATTTTAATTACATTTTTTCAATTCTAATTACTCGCCAATTATGGATTTCCGAGTTATGATTTAGGTGTTTTTGTGTTATTCTGGAAGTACTTAATTAGTTAAACTCTGTGTGATCACCGTCCGTGACCCCACACTTCGACTTACCCAACCTTAGTTAATTCCCAAGTTACCCATTGCCACAAAGCAGCTAATACTAATCCATCAAACAGACCGCACCGAACTTGGCCCGTTAACCCGCACAAGTTAGTGTTTAGATTGTTAATTATATATAATTATTTCACTGTTACATTTCCGTAGTTACTTAGTCTTAGGTGATGAGACAGTAATGAATTGTGTATGATGATTGTTCTTTTAATAAATATTGCTTTACTCACCATTAACTGGCTGCCTCTACCTGAACTGCAGGCTACATTAAATAGAATTTCTCAATCACTCCACGGGCCGCACAAACACTTGGTCCGGACCGCAGATTGCCCATGCCTGCTCTAGACCAATAAACACCGAGATCACACTACTTCTGACCAATAAACACCAAGATCACATTACTCTTGACCAATAAACACCGAGATCACACTACTCCTGACCAATAAACACCGAGATCACACTACCTTTGACCAATGGACGACGAGATCACACTCCTCTTAACCAATAAACACCTTCCCTGACCTTTGCCCTTACCTCCAGGACGTGCAATATGCTGATATCGACTACATGGATCGCAGGATGGACTTCACCTACGATAATGTGAGCTATGCCGGCCTACCAGAGTACATCAGGGAGGTCAAGGATAAAGGTCTTCGCTTTATCATCAACCTCGACCCCGCCATCAACGCTGAGGTGAGGTTGACATCACTCTCTATGCTATTAAGTGTTATGATCCAGGTTTAGTTTAATCAGCCTGATTCCCTCCTTTATTGACCTGACCAATAGATGTTTTTTGCCATTGATGGATATTTTCTTTATTGCAATTCTACGCACCTAATACCTAGAGGTCACCCTTGTTACTATTTTGAGCAGTAGTCGGAGAAATGGTAAAAAATTCTTAGTAGATATGATAATAATTGAAATAGTAGTATAAGTGATGTTATTAGTAGTAATTTAAGCAGACATACAATCGCCCCAAAAAAGTATCTTTACCTCGTCTGATGAATTTAAAAATGAACACTGCGGCTCCTGTTGTCTCGGTAGGGTTGTCAAAATCCTTCATCCGTTGTGTCATATTGTCTCACGTAAAATCCTAAAGATACTTTTGCAGCTACTTGTTACTGTAATAATAAGTTGAACTGTAATAATAATGATCTTTTGTGTGTGTGTGGTCTACAGATGAGTGAGGAGGAGTACCCAGTTCACCATCGGGCTCTGCAGAAGGACGTGTACATCAAGTGGCCTCAGGAGCTTGTGCCTGAAGAGAACCACGGCGGGGGGGACATCATGCTGGGATATGTAAGTCCCTGTTATAATGTTTCTGTCACTTCTACCTTTTTTACTGATGTCTTTCTGATATGACTTCGTCCACTCTAAGGTTCAACTGACTTCACCTTCACCTTGGTCCCTCTACAGGTGTGGCCAGACAACCGTACAGCTTTTCCAGATTTCTTGAGGTCCTCTACGAAGGAGTGGTGGAAGGAGGAGATTATACGGCTCTATGACACGCTGGAGTTTGATGGACTGTGGCTTGTGAGTACTGTGTGTGTGTGTGTGTGTGTGTGTGTGTGTGTGTGTGTGTGTGTGTACTAAATCCTAACGATGGCTAACTTCACTTATTATGATGAGAGAGAGAGAGAGAGAGAGAGAGAGAGAGCTTCAGTACTAACAATCTCCCCCAGTACTAAGACTCCCCCCAGTACTAAGACTCTCCCCTCCTCCCGCAGGACATGAACGAGCCGGCCAACTTCGGCACCAACGAGAACAAACCTTGGAACTGGCCACATGACCGTCCACACTGGAGCCTCACCTGTCCTACCTCTACCTGGGACGACCCACCTTACCCGGTCGCTGCCATCACCGCTTGGGGCCAGGGCAAGAGGTTAGTGAGTCAATCAGTCAAGTGGTAAATCAGTCAAGGGCCGAGTCAGTCAAATAGTGAGTTAGTCAGGGTAAGAGGTGAGTCCAGTTAAGATATCTTTGTCAAGGGATTAAGTTGTAATTAATGGCTTAAGACATTAATCTCAAGGTGGCTGATAAGTTGTTATACTGAAGCTGTTAAGTCATAGCATTGAAGGGGTTAAGTCTTATTCGTGAAGGGGTTAAGTCTTATTCGTGAAGGGGTTAAGTCTTAGCAGTGAAGGGGTTAAGTCTTAGTCGTGAAGGGGCGCATGACCTACTTGATGCTACAGGTTGTCGGAGAGGACGCTGTGTATGGTGGGACTACAGGGCGAGGAGAGACAACTACGACACTACGATGTCCACAACCTGTATGGATGGTCCCAGACCCTACCCACACTGGAGTACGTATTGCAGCCTCTCATCCTAAACACACACAAACACACACACACAGCTGGAATACATGTTATAGCTTTTCTAACTCACATTAAATCCTAAAACTGCATCTGATCCCCTATCCCTTACTACCTCCAGGGCCCTGCAGGAGGTGACGGGGAAGAGAGGCATCGTGGTGAGCCGGTCAACCTTCCCCAGCAGTGGCAGGTGGGCTGGACACTGGCTGGGGGATAACCTGGCTCGCTGGCCTGACCTCCACACTTCCATTATAGGTCAGTATCTCCTGTGATTCAGTGCGTGTTCTAAACTGGGTAGGTTAGGTTAAGAGAATCTTTTGGTGAAATAAGCCTGAGTGGATATACTTGAGGTGATCATCTGGGACTCCTTGGTGATTACTCTTCAACAACACTCAGGTATGATCGAGTTCAACATGTTTGGGATCCCTTACGTGGGTGCGGATATCTGTGGGTTCTTTGCGGACACGACGGAGGAGCTGTGTCAGCGGTGGATGCAGTTGGGTGCCTTCTACCCCTACAGCCGCAACCACAACACCGAGGGGACCAATGAACACGTGAGTACGTCCTTGCTACACGTGGCATTAAGAACTGTAGACCTTGTGAGTACGTTCTTCCAACTTTAGATATCCTGACGAATTATTTACCATAGGACAAGTCAGTTATTATCCTTCACACAGACCGCGTGTACGTTCCTCATGCCTCTGAGCTGTAAATGAACACCCCAAGATTCTCGAGTTTTCACATGACACGATATTTCCCACACAGTACGACGCTTCCCATAGTTTCAGCTCCCAGTAAATTAAAGCTTCCAGAAATGTTATCTTTATATTGCTGAGACCTCCATAGTTCCATGCCTCCCCATGATTTGAACTTCCCCATGGCCCTGAACTTCCTCATGGCCCTGAACTTTTTCATGGCCCTAACTACCTGTACCACCACAGGACCCTGGACTGTGGCCGAGTGTGGCATCGTCAAGCCGAGCAGCCCTTCAGGTCCGCTACACTCTTCTGCCCTACCTCTACACCCTACACTACCTCGCCCACACCCAGGGCCTCACCGTCGTCAGGGCCCTCTTCTTCGAGTGAGTACATCTGGCCCTTCTATTCTGACTTTAATCCATTGTTTATACTGCATGTCTTTCATATCCCAATATGTTCCTTCTCTCAACCTATAAATATTTTTTTAACTTTCCCCTGAGAAATTCTTATATAGTTTAGGATATTTTAAATTTATTGTAATGTTATCTTTTCCAATTAAGTCTATTTTACTCAAAAAGTTTGTACATTTTATGAGAATTTACTGTATGTATTACCTAGTGGTTAGATGTACCACAAATCGTACTAAAAGCGTGATGACAGCTTTAAGTTAGGTCAATCTAGATTAGGTTTTGGGTCACCTTAATGTGTCTGAAAGAAGAGTACCATTACTTTCCAATTATTTCACATAGTTTACGGGTTTCTGTACAGTTCCCCCACGATGTAATTTTAATTATATTCTGACTGATAATTACAGATTTCCTGATGACAAAGCGACCTTGGATGTAGACGATCAGTTCCTGTGGGGGTCCTGGCTCATGATAGCTCCCGTTCTAAAGGCAGTACGTTTTCTTTGGTGTGCTCCACAAAAAACTTAAATATTCTTATCGCTAACTCATTCAAATCTTACTTATTTCACGCATTATATCTATCTACGCTATTTTTAAACACCAAGGGTCCTGCAAGTGTACAAGTTTACTTATGTCTGCTCGTCCGACTATACTGTATATTTGTCTGTGTGAAATATTTATGTTAAAGAAGTGATTGATATAAAATGAGAATAAATTACAACTTCATGTTTTATCAATGTTCGAGTTTGTTAATCAGTCATTTTCATCTTCATTGACTAAGTTATGACATTTATTATTTATTTTGCATCTGTTGAAACTTAATAATGTATAATAATATATTTAAACATTCATTGGTATTCGTAGACATTTTTATCATATTTTGACATAGTTACGTCCGCTTTTTGTTATTGTTTTTGTAAGCTATTGATATTTATTACAGAGAGAGATCAACAGAGGCGTGTACTTCCCCGCTGGTGCCTGGTACGACTACTACACTGTAAGTAAGAACTGCAAATCAACATAATCACCTCAAGTGCTTACCTTTACTCTCTACTTAACAGCCGCCACATTACTGAACCTTCACAGTTTCTCAATTTCTTCCTGTGCGTCTAGAGGTTAAGTGAGAAACTATATTGGTCACAAATACCAGACTACAGGAGGATATATAACTAGCCTATATCAATCTATGTATATGTGACGTCAGACCCATGAGGTAGACTCCTACATTGTCTCACCTGGGAAACAAGTCGTGGGTGAGAGACACAGGTGAAACATGATAACTGACTCATTAATGACTTGACCTGACCTGGCTTGATTTGGTCTCAGGGGGAGGCGGTCAACCAGCTGGTGGATGAGGGTGTGACGCTGGTGGTGGAGGCGCCTCGAACCCACGTCCCTGTGTATGTGAGAGGCGGCGGTGTGCTCCTTACCCAACGACCCCGCTCCAACACCAAGCTGGCCAGGTAAGGGAGAGAGGTTAAAATAGGTAATAGTTAATTTAAAAGACAGAAAATAGATACAGTGAAACCTCAATATAACGAACTTTCCTTCCATATAATCCGTTAGATGGGGGAGGTTTCACATCTAACAGACCCTCGATATAATGGATTTTCTTCTCCACATAGTCCACTAAATAGAGGTTTCACTGTAAATAAATATAGATAAACAATTTAAAACATAAATAGGGAGACATACATGTATACTGTATATCAATAGACAGGTGTAATACATAACTACTGTATACATAACTTAATCTAATCTATAACCCCCCCTGCCCCCCACCTGAAGGAGTGAACCCCTAGGACTGGTGGTGGCCCCAGACCGGGAGGGGAATGCTACCGGGACGTTGTACTGGGACGACGGCGAGGAGCTGAGTGAGTGTCTGACTGACGTGTTCTTTGTGTCGTATTACCTGAGATCTAGGAACTATTTACCTTATATAAATACACAAGTGTTTCAAGTACAGGTGATATTAATTGTCTCTGTCCGGTGTCATATTATAGCACGTAGGAGGTCTCTCTCTCTCTCTCTCTCTCTCTCTCTCTCTCTCCACTCTTTCTTCGTCTTTGTCATCTCTCTCTCTCTCTCCACATACACCAAGATTACCCAACCATGATCTTTGTATCTCCAATTGAGTCTCTCGAGTGTTCATACCTGCAGAAGGCGCGACGAGGAGGTATAGATGAGGTGTTATGAGAGGTTTGTCCCTCTCCTTGCCAGCCTCAAGACACTCACGGTCACACTGTTACCTGAAGATGTCTAACACACACACACACACACACACACACACACACACACACACAATAAACTAACCTGACCCAATATGACCCAAGATGCACAAATAAACCTTCAATTCGACGCTGTATGAGAGGTCAAGGTCACAAGAGGTAAATATATCAGAGGCCAGAGGGACTCACGTGTTAACCCTGGTCATAATAGAGGGAGATTGGGGCAATACATGACCTCCAGCGTACAATAGTTAGCTTGACACGCCCACATGGTCTGACCTGACCTCCGATTTGGGGTCACAGTGTATGTAATAATAATAATAATAATTAACGGTTTATTGAAAAAGTTCTGCAGCCCGAAGGCTGAAAATATACATTGGACATAAATGACTTATTGTATGTATGTATGTATATGTCTTATCGGTAACATAAACAAAATAATCTCTTATGGCTTGTGATGACTGACAGACACATACACACTGCTGGCAGTCACTCTGGCTGTCTCCCTCACTCACACTAAACTCTGAATGAAACTCTCCAACACTTATGAATGAAGACCCGGGCGTGGCCATAGTATTGATGACGTAATATGACATCACAGCTTACGTCACCAAGGGGCGGGGCAACCAAGTGAGGAAGGTGGACCTGGAGTTAATTATAAGTAAACATACAGTATAATTTATCTTTTATTGTTAAATTTATGTTCGCAATACAGAAATGGGGAGCGAATTTCATGGCTCATCTCACCATTAATCCCTCCCTGGAGCTAAACACTTGATAGCTGAGCAATAAAAGCTGAGAGGTACGGTATTTTGGGTGGGTTTAACAGCTCCAGGGTTCATGATTAATAGTCGTGTTTGATAGAAGAGTTCAAATTTACCTGGAAGTTTTAAGGCAGGCATTAGCACCATCACCCACAGGTCAAGTCATGTAAGGTCAAGTCAGGTTAGGTCAATTTGCAGCAATTATAATATTAGTATCTTATAATATTCTCACCAACCAAATTAACACCTGTAAAATATGATATTATAAACTGTATCAATATCGTTCAATTTATTCTTTATATAATTTTTATCGAGCAATTTATTCGTATTAAGTAATATATAATGAATTTATTTCTTTTCCTCAGATCCTATAGGTAGCGGCAGGTACTTCACAGCTGATGTAACTTATTCCAATGTAAGTACAGGTAAACAGGTCATTAGTACAGGGAACAAACAGGTCATTAGTAGGTCTTCCATTGTCTGGCTGTGTCTCCCACTCTCTGTCTGCCTGTCTGTCTATCTATCTTTGTCTGTGTACCTGTTTTCTGTCTGCCTGTCTGTCCGTGTCTCTCAAATAGACAGAGAGAGAGACAAAACCACACACTCCATAGAATTCTGTCTCACATTTCACCACAAACATCAAAAGAATCTCAGCCGAGCCTCCACTTGATGGCATCTTAAATAGTCCTCAAATTATAAGAAACCTTTTTCATTTCATTCTTAATTAGTGAAAGAAAAAATGAAAGTTGTAATCTCGCTTTAAAAAAATACCAATACAAAAATCCTAACTCAAATTTAAACCAGAAATTTCTACGTCTATTTAGATTTTTTGAAGCGTATTATATTCTGATTAGAGCTACGAGGGAGGAAGGATTGTTGAGAGTAGATTAGAGGGAAGGATTAGGATTGTTGAGAGTAGATTAGAGGGAAGGATTAGGATTGTTGAGAGTAGATTAGAGGGAAGGATTAGGATTGTTGAGAGTAGATTAGAGGGAAGGATTAGGATTGTTGAGAGTAGATTAGAGGGAAGGATTAGGATTGTTGAGAGTAGATTAGAGGGAAGGATTAGGATAGAGCGGATTGGTTAGGGTAGTATATTAGTGTGAAGGTTTAAGACACTCTCACCTCCTGCAGGAGATCATCACGTGGCAGGTGACTCGTGGTAGTGAGGTAGCGGAGGGTCTGCTGTTGTCGGAGGTGAGGGTGTTCAGGGTGGAGGGACGACCTACTCAACTCCTGGTGGACGGTCAGCGATGGACGACAGGTGACTGGCACTATCACCGCGACACACAGGTAAGGCACTGGATGTTCCTTAATCAGTCAGTCACAATCTGAAAGTCAATTAATAACTGTCAAAAATTCAGTAAGTCAATATCCATCGATCAGTCTAGTAATAACAAATCATACAGTCAGTCAATAACAGTCAGAAGTCAGTCAATAACAGTCAGGAAGTCAATAACAGTCAGAAAGTCAACAAGTCAGTGGCCATAGTTGTGAGTGAGCAGCATGACAGGTGTTGGCTACAGGTGTTGGTTGTGTCCGCAGGTGTTACAGATGTTTGACTTGGCTCTCCCCGCTACCCACAACTTCACCCTCACCTGGACCGAACAGATGGACTTTAAGATCCCTTGTCCTATCTCTTATAAAGGTATGTTGAGTCTTAGTGACACTCTCATTACTGTGGCTGGAGTAATGATGATGATAGTGATGATGATAATAATAACAGTAATAATGATAATAATGATGATAATACTTAATACACCAAAAATAATACTGATATTATTATTATTATTACAGTATTATTATTGTATTGCGATTCATCATCATCACCAAAAATACTATTATCATCACTATCATCATCATCATCAATACTATCACCATGTCTCATAATTGCAACTGGCATAAACTAACTGTTCAGTCTCTCTCACTTACCAGACTGGAGCGAGGACGAGCCAGTCACTGAGGTTATGTGTAAGGAAAGGAACTGTGTATGGGAACAGTCAAATAAGGTGAGTCTTAACTCTCTCTCTCTCTCTCTCTCACACATATCTAGTCAAGGTTGAGTCTGTGTAATATTTCTGCCATTTTGGATATCAATTTAATATATATACCGTAGTTGCAGCAGTTAGCCATCAGATGCGTTCCTATAACATAATTTTATGAGGGCAATTTACCTTAAGATTCTTCAAGCATAAACGGGTCTTAGGAATTCCCAGGCTAGACTTTGAGAGATACCAGTAGCTGTTTCTGTACACGCGTTAAGTAGTCCCTATATAAGTGGAAGGTAAAGCATGTGAACTATTTATATTAATTACCAAACTTCGCTGTGTTGGTGGGCGAAGCTTAACATTCTTAGCACTAGTTTTTCTCTCTCTCCTCTGCGTGGATTACTCTCCCTACGAGGTGTTACGAGTGATGGTCGACGCGTGTGAGGCTATATCGTTAGTTAATGGAGGATGTTATCAGGTTATGACACACACACATTTTTAAATTACTCTTTCTTTTCCACACCCCCCTTTCCTTCCCTCCATCCCACGCAATCTTTTCCATTCCCCCACTCATCCTATCTCCCTTCCACCTAATCTCTCCCTACACTTATTCGCCCTTTTTCCCTCCTACGCACTCTGCTACACTCTCCCTCTCTTCCTCCCACTCATTCTCTTCCCCAGTCACGTCCACTCATTTTAAAACTCTCGAGTATCGACACTTTCCCTGCCATCGTGTACAGCACCACTACCACCACTACTACCGGCACCACCACCATCACCACTACCACTCTCACCATTACTACTAAGCGAGTCGGATGATAAGTTAGGTCAGATCACAGAATACTTCTTTCTTTTGAATTCAGGGATAAAGGAAAGAACAAAAATATTTACACAAAACTTTCACTATTCGCCGTCAGTAATGTACAAATCACCGACCCTGAGCTTTTGATTCACACTACGACGAAAAGTTCCCAGCTCAAACTCTCAGGGAAAATGAGATGACTATTTTTTTTAAACTTTGTAAATGAACTCCTGAACTAACCTCACTACCCCCTCAACCGCCCGTCCCATCCCACACCACCCCACCCGCCCGTCCCATCCCACACCACCCCACCCGCCTCCCATCTCACCATCCCACCCCTCTCCCCCATCCCACCTCATCTCCCATCCACCCCATCTCTCAAAATCACCCCTTCCATCCCCCCTCCCAGTACAGGCGGGGTGAGGGTGGAGGGAGGTTAACTGTAGTGAACTGGTATTTTAGAGTTTGACTTTACCTGAATATTTACCCGAATAAGTTTCTCTTGTATTACTATTACTATTATTATTATTATTATTATTATTATTATTATTATTATTATTATTATTATTATTATAATAACCACCATTACCACCACCACTATCATCATCGTTTTACCACTACCACCACTACCACCACCACCACAACCACCAGCGCCAGCACCACCACCACCACCACCACCACCACCATTTTACCACTATTTTCCCTCGGAAGTAATCAGTCGGACTCAGAGTTGAAGGTTTACAGTGGTGCCATCATCCTAATGAGGAACAAGCTTGCTAATACTGTACCTGTATGTTATAAATGCTGAATTATGTCATGGATTTACTTGTTGTAGAGTTTTGACATGTGGCGTCCCATAGTGAAGGAGTTAGGTTAGGTTAATGAAATCAAAAGTGAAAAAAAAATCGTTCACTGCCACTCATTAACCTGCACTTTAAATAGCAGAAAAATACGTATCAGTGAGGCCAGGAAGGGCATCTGCTGAACTTACTGCACACAGCTGAAAAGACTCTGGGAAAAACGATTTAGCTTCTATTGAGGTCTTTTGAGTGGCTGGAAGTGGAGGCAGTATTGAGAGGATGTGTAATAATATTAAATGGTTCATTAATAGAGTTGCAGCCGGTGGCTAAAAATATACAAACTTACATGTGATTTAGACTTAATAATATACGTTAAATACATTTACAGGGCTGTACAGTACATAAATCAGGAGCTCTTTATTATTTTAACAATAGATGGGATGGTGCTGTTCTTATATCTATCGGTGCAGGCTCTTATGGACTGAATTTTGTTGTAGTGGCGGACTGCGCGAGATGGGCGGGGGACTGCCGGTGGCAGTAGGTGGCGATGATGAAGGATGGTGCAGTAGTCCACTGCCAAACCCTGCAAGTGCTTGGTGGTGGAGGTCACTGAGGGATGGCATTTTCAGGGTGGAGAGAGCTTTGTTGTAGCCGAAGTAGTCTGCGCCGAGCATGATTCTGCAGTCCCTCTTCTGTACCTTCTCTAGCTGACGTTGCTGGGTAGAGTTGAGAGAAGACGACAAGGCTGGTGATGCATACGTTAATTTGGGGAGAATAAATGCGTTATAGATAGTCCTCAGCTCTGGCGTGGGTGCCCCAAGTGACCTGAGTCGTCATAGCATGTAGAGTCGGTAGGAGGCTGCCTTGATTGTGTTGTTTACATGGGCCTTCCAGTCCAGTTTGTGGTCTATTGTGTTGGTGTGTGTGTGTGTTGTCTGGTGCTAGAGGTGTCGACACTTTCAGATTTAACCTTAACACCTTCAGATTTAACCTAAACACCTTCAGAATAACCTAAACACTTTCAAGTTTAACCTAAACACTTTCAATTCCCGCAGATACAGTGTTCGATTCCTCCACTGGTTGACTACGGCTTCGAGTTCGTGGACGGAAAAGTGGAGGAGACGCAGAAGGGGTTTAAGACTCTCCTGAGGAAGGCAGGGTCCTCATTCTACGGCGGAGAACTGGAGAGACTTACCTTCGAAGTGTTTCTTTACAGCGATGACACACTCAGGGTCAAGGTAGGTCCGTCAGGTTAGGGCTCACTAAACCAAGGGCTCTAACCTAATCTACTAGACCTAAGTGTGTGTGTGTGTGTGATAGACACACACACACACACACACACACACACACACACACACACGTACGTCTTTAGTCTTGATCCAAAGTGATTAAAGTGAAAGGTCGTAACAGCTCACTTAACGCCTCCTTCAGCAGCCAAAAGGATCGACGAAGCGTGGGAAGAGGGAGGGAGAGTGACAAGGAAGGAAAGGAGAGGACGAGTGATGAGGAAGGAGGGAGAGTGATGAGGAAGGCGGGATAGTGATGAGGAAGGAGGGAGAGTAATGAGGAAGGAGGGAGAGTGATGAGGAAGGAGGGAGAGTGATGAGGAAGGAGGGAGAGTGACGAGGAAGGAGGGAGAGTGATGAGGAAGGAGGGAGAGTGATGAGGAAGGAGGGAGTGAAGGAGGGAGAGTGAGGGAAGGAGGGAGAGTGATGAGGAAGGAGGGAGAGTGATGAGGAAGGAGGGAGAGTGACGAGGAAGGAGGGAGAGTGATGAGGAAGGAGGGAGAGTGACGAGGAAGGAGGGAGAGTGAAGTGGAAGGAGGGAGAGTGAAGTGGAAGGAGGGAGAGTGACGAGGAAGAAAGGAGAGTGACGAGGAAGGAGGGAGGACCACGTCAGTACGGGGTTGGGCTACTGGTCCTGTGATCTTCGTCAGCACACAGTGTTAGGGGCTTTACCAGGACCTCTTCTGACATCTCTCTGTTTCTCCTCAAGGTACTTGTCCCTCTCCACCTCTTGGCTTCTGAGTCTTGGCTTTGTACGTGTAAGAGGCCACCAATTACATCTCCTTCCCTGTTTCCCCCTTTCCCTCAACTTTTCCTCTTTCCCTCCTTCCCCCAATGCCCCCTCATTCCTTCCCTCCCTTCCACCCTCTCTCCTTCTTTCCTTCCAATCCTCTTTCCCCAACACCCACTCTCCACCCTCCATGCCTCCATCCCTCCCTTCCTTATACTCCTCTTAAACTGCCACCGTCAACCTGGGGACATTAATTAACTCGCACTGTTGTAAGACTCGGAGATGAAGGAGGTGTGAGGAGACTGAGGCCCCAGCAAAAATGTTTAAAGCACAGTTGTCTGTTTTCGCTGTGAAATACTTAGGATGTAACTTCACAGGAAAAAAAATATCTTGTATATACTGTACCGAGTCGCTGGGCGGATTGAAGGCTCTACACTCCTGTTTACTTTATGACACTGCTTTAATATCTTTGTTGAACCTGTGTACAGTTTTTTATCATTATTTACAAAGATAAACAATAACAAGAATAAAAATGTTGAGTTTTAGTGCCGCCATTCCTTCACTTTCCACCAGATTCACCGAGACTTTACAAGATGATCACTTGTGACAGCTGATATACACTGACGTTTACTTTAGATTCATTGTCTCCTTCTCACACAGTTCTACCAGGAGGGAGCCGCCCGTCACGAGGTCCCCGTGGAACTTAATCTGCCTACCACTGGGGCCAAGAACCCCCTGTACGAGGTGGTGCTGCCCCATAACCCCAAGGCTGGAGACCCCTTCTTCTTCTACGTCGTCAGGAAGGGCACGGGCACCATCTTGTGAGTTGGAATAGTTTATGTTATGAGCACAAACAGGTGTGACACGACCGGGTGTGTTGGTACACCTGGTGAAGGATTCTTACGATGAGAAATGTTAGTAATACGACTACTCCATCTTGACAATGAACAACTACTCCTCCTTCACACTAAACGACTACTCCATCTTGACAATGAACAACTACTCCTCCTTCACACTAAACGACTACTCCATCTTGACAATGAACAACTACTCCTCCTTCACACTAAACGACTACTCCTCCACAGGTTCAACACCAAGATCGGCGGGCTGACGTTCTCAAATCAGTTTCTCAGCATCACGAGCCTTCTGCCCAGTAAGAACGTGTATGGCCTGGGGGAGAACGCCCACGACAACTTCAGACACGACCTCAGCACTGGCAGGCTATGGCCCATCTTCTCCAGGGATGAGGGACCTGCGCCTGGGGTGACTATTACTTGTCGAGTCCTGAGGCTATAATGTTGGTTTAATTATGTCTCTTCCCGCTCATACTCTTCTCCCCCCACTCTATTCTCCCCCATACACTCTCTTGTCCTCCACACACACTCTTCCCCCCACACACTCTCCCCGCACACACATACACTCTTCCCCCCAGACACTCTCCCCCCACACATACACTCTTCCCCCACACACTCTCTCCCCCACACACACTCTTCCCCCACACACCCTCTCCACACACTCCCCCTCTCCTCCCACACACACTCTCTCCTCCCCACACACACACTCCCCCACACACTCTCTCCCCACACAAACACTCTCCCCCACACACTCTCCCCCACACATACACTCTCCCCCCCCACACACCCTCTCCACACACTCTCCCACACACACACCCCCCCCACACACTCTCCTCCCCCACACACCTCTCCCCACACATACACTCTCCCCACACCCCCACACACACCTCCCCCCACACATCACTCTCTCCCCCCACATTCTTATATCCCCTACGCTGTCCATTTTCCAACAGCTCACCCTTCAATACCTTGCCTCCCCGCCTCCTCCCCTCCCCCCTCACCACCACACACACCACAAAGCCATCTCACCAGAGCGGATATTTCTTACTTTCAATCTTGCACGTCATAAAACTCTCTCTTGGGATACATCAAAGGGAGGGACGAGGTTTCTTAGGCAACTCCTTTATCCCTTATGTGTAGGGAGACCAGGAGAACCCCCTTAGAACCCCTTAGAACCCTTAGGTGGTGTAGGGGGACCTAGAGAACCCCCTTAGAACCCTTAGGTGGTGTAGGGAGACCAGGAGAACCCCCTTAGAACCCCTTAGAACCCTTAGGTGGTGTAGGGGGACCTAGAGAACCCCCTTAGAACCCCTTAGAACCCTTAGGTGGTGTAGGGGGACCTAGAGAACCCCCTTAGAACCCTTAGGTGGTGTAGGGAGACCAGGAGAACCCCCTTAGAACCTTTTAGAACCCTTAGGTGGTGTAGGGGGACCTGGAGAACCACTTTAGAACCCCTTAGAACCCTTAGGTGGTGTAGGGGGACCTGGAGAACCCCTTTAGAACCCCTTAGAACCTGAAGAACCACCCCATAGAACCTGTAAGTTGAGCTGACATGACTAATATATGTCTGTGTTGTGGTTATACTGTATACATCTGTCTGTATGTCATGTCTTACAGGAGGGCGAGGAGATGAACCTGTACGGTGCCCATCCTTACTACCAGTGTGTGGAGAATGATGGTCTGGCCCACGGTGTGCTGCTCCTCAACAGTAATGCCATGGGTGAGTATGGGCGTGTGTGTGTGTGTGTGTGTGTGTGTAACTCTATGTACAATATATGAATCAACTTTAATTTGTATTCAACGTGATGGACTATTTTTATTAATCTCTCTCTCTCTCTCTCTCTCTCTCTCTCTCTCTCTCTCCTGCACCAGACTACCAACTCCTGGACTATCCTTCCATCACCTTCCGGACTCTCGGCGGGGTGCTGGACCTGTACCTGATGCTGGGACCTGGCCCTGAGGCGGTGGTCAGTCAGTATACAGCTCTGATACACCGTCCTATTATGCCGCCATACTGGGCCCTGGGCTTCCAGCTGTGTAGGTAAGGGGTTTCAGGTGTAGATAAGGGTTTACAAATGTATATAAAGGGTTTCAGCTCTGTCTATCTGTCTCTCTCTCCTAAAAACATACAAAAACAAAAGAAACACCTTCACATTGTAGGTTCAGGACTGCCCCCAGCTCTATAAACTAAGCAAACAATCACAAGAGTCTTTGAAAATCCTCCACAAAGATGTAAAATAAACAAGACAGATTAACACCACGAAGACATCCCCAAAAATTACGTTCCCCTCACTGGATCTTGGGGTCTTGGGGTCTTGGGTACAGGTAGTATTAATTTTAATCACCTGACATAGAGATTTCAGCCTCAGTATTATTTCACAGATACAGGTGTCAGAACTTGTCTCTCCACTCACACAAGACCTAACTCTCCCTCATCACTTGACAGGTACGGCTATGCGTCCCTTCAGGAGCTGCAGGGGGCGGTGAACAGGACGAGAGACGCCGGGATCCCTCAGGTAAGATCTTCGTCAGGTAGGTCCTCTGTTTCAGATAAGATCTTCGTCAGGTAGGTCCTCTCTCTCAGGTAAACTCCTCTACAGGTTATATTAACTTACAATAACAAGGAGACAGATGACCTACCTGGAGAAGAGCCTACCTGAGATGATCACTTTTAAGAAGGGATCCGAGGACACACACACACACACACACACACACACACACACACACACAGCACCTAATGACACCCTCCTCCTCCTCCTTCAGGATGTACAGTACGGGGACGTTGATTACATGGACCGCAGGATGGACTTCACCATCGACCAGGACAACTACCAGGGCTTCCCAGAGTACGTCGAGCAGATGAAGGAAGACGGACTCAGGTTCATAGTCATACTCGACCCTACTATCAATGCTGAGGTGAGAGAGAGAGAGAGAGAGAGAGAGAGAGAGAGAGGATAAAATTAATTAAAGCAATAAGAAAAAGCCAATCAAAGGATCAATGGAAACAGGTATGTGCAGCCTGAGTGTAATCTTAAACCCTGAGAGAGAGAGAGAGAGAGAGAGAGAGAGAGAGAGAGAGAGAGAGAGAGAGAGAGTATTTGGATTTAGATGGATTAGTAAAAAAACCGAACACATCCGGATTCAAACAGACTCGACGAGAACGGAACAAATTTACATTCCTCTTGTCCTATATTTTTTCTTAATCAAACTATGCTGCCGCTGTGAATTTTTTCTTCGTTAAGTACAGTACTGTGATTTTCAGCAAAATCTAATTTTTGGCCCAAAACCACCAATAATGTAAGTCTTACACCTTACATAATTTTTGACCAAAATATACTTTTTTCTCAGAATTGAAATTTAAGGGGTTTAACTAATTAAGTACTTTCAGAATAACACACAAACCCTAAATCACACCTTTGAAACCCATAATTGATGAGTAATTAGCAATGAAAAATTTGAGTAAAATCTTTCAAGGGTCATTTTGGCGACTAATTACTCTGCAATCGAATCGTGGACCACATATTCATAATCAGCAAGCGCAGGAGTACCCATACAGGGTATTCAAATTTGGCCAGAGTTACATAGTTGAGAGGCGCTTCCGTGTTCCACTAACTCCGGGTTCACGTGACTTTGGGTTCGTATACCCTCAGGAGTCGGGTTTGTTTTCATATTATAGGGTGAGCGTCCCGAGACCGCCATACCATCTCTCATAAAATGCGTCGTATGATTTTTTTTAATGTCTATTTATCATGTGAGGTAAGGTTATGTGGATGACTGGAGACACGAGAAGTGGGAGGATACAACTATGTCTGTTTATCTCACTTTCCTCCTTCCTCCCCTTCTCTTCTCTTCGTCTTTCTCTCCCTCCCTCCCTCCCTCCTTCCACCTCTTCTCTCTCCCTTTCTTCTGTTCTCTCTCCTCCTTCCTTCCTTCTCTCCCTCCCTCCCTCCCTCCCCCTTCCTTCCATCTCTTCTCTCCTCCCTTCTTCCATCTCTTTCTCTCCCTTTCTCTTCCCCCTTCTCTCTCTTCCTTCTTCCTTTCTCCCTCCCCCTCCCTCCTCCTTTCTCTCTTTCTTCCTCCTCCCCCTCCCCTTCTCTTCTTTCTCTCTCCTCTCTTCCTCACTTTCCTCTCCATCTTTCCTTTCTCTCTCCCATCCGTATCTCCCTCCCCCTCTCCTCCGTCATCACAACCACGCCCACTAGAGCTGCCCTCCTGGTGTCCAATACAATAAAACAAAAGACTTATGGAGGATTTAGAGAGGCGAGCCATCTTCGGTATCATTTGTATGCATGAAATTCCTTCCACCAGTACCCCATCCTCTCATTCCACCCTCTAGGCCCACCAACCTACCTCCCAACCCATCCCATAGCTGGATATTATCACCCTGGCACACCTCTCTCACTGCTGTACTCCTCAACACTGCCCTACCAACCCGCTAGTTGGACTGAGAGAAGGTAAGGTTAAGTGATGTCCTTTGTATTCATGATGTTCCTCTGTTTGGTTCGTGAGGTGTGGTTATTGGTGCCAGGTAACAGTATCAGTTATTAGTATCAGGTAACAGTATCAGTTATTAGTATCAGTTATTAGTATCAGATATCATAAATAAAATAAACACCAATAAGAATTAAATAGATACATTTTTAATTATGATCAAAACATTACAAAAGTCAACAGGTAAAGTTATAATAGAAATTAATAGCAACATGTTGATTGGTTGTGTTGCAATATGGTAATTTAAACCTTGCAATATGTGTACGTGTTGTGTTATTGATGATTATTGTTGTTGTGTGTTGATGGAATTGTGTTGTTTATGTTAGGGGAGAATGACACGGCTTTAAAAGTGTGTAATAATAATAAACGGTTTATTAATAGAGTTGCAGCCGGTGGCTGAAAATATACACTTACATTTGATTTAGACATAAATCAGGAGTTGTTTATTATTTTAACAATGTGTGTGTGTTACCAGCAGTAAGTGGAGGCCGAATAACAATACTTCCACACGCACAATATTAGTTTCTGAAGTACGAGAGAAAATGCAAACAAAATCAGCCCCAAACTCCTTGTTTTTCTTTCATAATTGTATTTGCACCAACTCACTCGTCTGTTATGAGCTGCGGAAGTAACCATAAATTTCAACTTGAAGAAACTGTGTCTAAAGGAGAAAAGAACAAGTTTAATATTTTTTTGGCGTGTGGTATTTGTACAGCTGTCTTGACCAGGAGGGAGGGTCGGGAAGGGGGCCATTCTCTTGCTTCACCAGGGGTAACTGTACTAAACTAGTTGGGGAGACGAAATTTATATTCCTAGTGTGTGTGTGTGTGTGTGTAGTTTCATATGAAGATTACCACCATAACGCTAACCTAACTTAACATAACCCCAGGTAGCGTTAAGGTAGTTAATCGTCAGGTGAGATAAACAGGTGTTACGAATCTGCAGGTAATCTCTACCTGCCCGGGTTGATTAAAGTGTTGTGTACCTGCAGTTACCGAAGGAGGAGTACCCGACACACCACCGAGCCCTGGAGGCGGACGTGTACATCAAGTGGGCAGCTGCTACTGACAGAAGCGTAGTGCAGGAAAATAACGGAGGTGATCTGGGCAACGTTATGCTCGGCTACGTGAGTCTTTGTCTCTGGTCTTTGGGAGAGTCTTTGGGAGAGTCTTTGAAGGTCTTAGGAAGTCTTGGGAGGTCTTTGGAGATAGGTGGGGCATGGGTCTTGGGGTGGGACAAGGGGTCCTGAGGGCCTCTTATCATGTTAGAAAATATAAATGAACGAATACCTGTTAGCTCTCCCTCCTTCTATCTCTTCCTCAGGTAAATTCTCTCCCTCTTTATCTCCCCCTCTCTCCCTCTAGGTGTGGCCGGACAACAAGACAGCCTTCCCCAACTTCTTCAAGGAGTCGACTAAGGATTGGTGGGTCCAAGAGATTACCTTCTTCTACAACACACTCAAGTTTGATGGACTCTGGATTGTGAGTACTTGATTGGAAATGGTTTTAAGGATTAGTATAAAACAAGTGATTCTATACTCTAATAGATATCGGATTGGGCTGATTGGACAGTCTTTGGAGAAAACTCATAGATTAAATTAGGATAAATTTAAGGTAATATTTATAAGTTGAAAATAAAGATGAAAGACTAGTGAGAGGAAAGTTAAAAGGGTTGTATAGATCAAAGGGTTATTATGACCGTGTCTCACTACCTGTCCTGTCAGTTCATAACAATATTACTTACTTACCTGGAGAGTGACCCTAGTTATGTCACCTGTCTTTATATTATCTGGATGTTGAGTTAATTTTTGTCTACTCCGAACATAATACAGTTGAACCTAACCTAACCTAACTTAACCTGACCTAACCTTACCTTACCCTACCCTACCCTAACCTAACCAAACAGCTTTTAAATAATACTCCAATCAGAATCCTGTTTCATGTCTGGGTTTGGTTAAGTAATTACGGTCGAGGTGGGAACGAGGCAATCACCACTGACACATTCCGCTTAAGTTAATTATGCAGGGTATGATAATGATGACTGACTGCATTAGGGAGTAATTAGTGAGGTATTCATCAGGGTACTGTCCTCATCTGATTATATTTACCTGAGATCTGAGTCACCAGGTAAATTGAGGTCCCAAGTTGTGCTTATAAATTACGTGAGAGGAGTAAAATATGTGCGTGCGTGCGTGCGTGCGTGTGTGTGTGTGTGTCGGTATTGAGTCAGATATTTGACACTACTACCACCACTACCACCATAAGCCATCACTATAGGAGGGGCATATATAGTGTAGATATAATGCCATATATGCTCACAGTATAACCATGTATATATTTCTTCCAGTACTAAGACTCCCCCAGTACTAAGACTCTCCCAGTACTAAGACTCCCCTTCCCTCCTCCCGCAGGACATGAACGAACCGGCCAACTTCGGCACCAACGAGAACAAGCCTTGGAACTGGCCACATGACCGCCCACACTGGAGCCTCACCTGCCCTACCTCTACCTGGGACGACCCACCTTACCTGCCCAGTAAGTCTCCCCCAACCACCATCCACAACCTACCTTCACCACCACTATCATTACAACAATCCGTCATCACCACCCTCACCATTACCAACCCACTCCCCACCACACACAGTTTCTCTACATAATTCTCCCCACAGACACAACAACATCGTCTACTCTATTATTTAGCCCCCAGTGGTGGCACAGGTAAGACTAGACGACCAGGTGAGGTCTCTCAGGATGTTGTGTCGAGTTGTCAGATTACGTCATGTTCCTCCTTTAAGTGAGTCAGGTTATGTAAAATTATTACTTTATATGGTATTTTTAGTCTTAAATATGTTGTGTTACGTAATATTGAACTCTTTAGTTATTTCACCTTTAAGAGACCTCCAAATTCATCAATTAATCCCGCTTCAAGAGACCTTAAATTTCAACCATTAATCCTCCTTCAAGAGACCTCCAAGACTCTCCGATGTCTCCATATATAATATTCTTCACCCACACAGAGGCAGGCTCCCACGGACCCAGTAGAAGGCTCTCTGACAAGACTCTGTGTCTGGCGGCCTGGGAGGAGCCTTACCTCCACTATGATGTTCATAACCTCTATGGATGGGCGCAGACAGAGGCTGGTGGTTTGGGGAGTTGGGAGGATTTAAGACAGAGGAGACGGAGAGGGATAGGACCTGGGTAAAGGGAAAGGGTCGGGTAGGGGAAACTGAGTAGGGGGAGGGGAAGGGGGGGGGAGCTGTGTAGGGGGAGGAAGAGGGAGGAGAGCTGGGTAGGGGGAGATGGAGGGGAGCTGAGGATATGTTTTATCTGAGGATTGAACTGAAGCCTTTGTTGTTGTAAAATAAATCTATCAGTCTCTCTCTCTCTCTCTCTCTCTCTCTCTCTCTCTCTCTGATCGTAATCCTGTATCCTAATCATTTATAGTCTAAATCCTTTTTCCTAGTCCTCTAATCCCTCTCCTAACTAATCCTCCAAAATCACCTGGTCTTAACCCTCTACTGTATCCCATCCTCTTGAATTCCTCCCAATAAAGAATTCAATCCCGCATCCCCTCACAGGGCAGCACAGCGTCTGACAGGGAAGCGCAGTCTGGTGGTGACCCGGTCCACCTACCCCGGCAGCGGTCAGTGGGCAGGTCACTGGCTGGGCGACAACAGGTCACAGTGGCCCGATATGGCTCACTCTATTATAGGTCAGTGTGGTGTGGTGTGGTGTGGTGTGGAGTGGGGGATAGTTTGATGTGTCTCTGGTGGTAATAACATTAGTGGTTGAGTTGATGTTGTTATTATTGTTAGTACTGTATTGTTACTTGTCTTTATTATGTTTACCTCATCATAATACAACATTATTATCATTATTGTAGTATTTCCTAATGTTTACAAACTTGAATTCAAGGTTGTTTACTCATCGTGTGTGTGTGTGTGTGTGTCAGGTATGCTGGAGTTTAATCTGTTCGGGATACCATACGTGGGTGCTGATATCTGTGGGTTCTTCCTCAACACCACCGAGGAGCTGTGTCAACGGTGGATGGAACTGGGCGCCTTCTACCCCTACAGCCGCAATCATAACCAGAAGGACGCTGTTGACCAGGTGAGAGCCCGTGCACACACACACAGAGACACGCTGATACGCACTCACTATTCTACTGTATTCCCTTTCATCCAATCGTCTCTTACTCTCGCCTCCAGGATCCAGGTTTATGGCCCAACACGGTAGCCAAGTCATCCAAGAAGGCCCTAGAGATTCGCTACCGTCTCCTGCCTTACCTCTACACCCTGTTCTACTACGCCTACACCCAAGGTCACACTGTAGTCAGGCCCCTCCTACACGAGTAAGTCTTTTGTTTACTACTGTCAGCTGATTCATTCATTCATCACGTCAATCGTAGAGGAGTAAGTTTTGTTTACAAGTATCAGCTGTTTCGTCTATTTACCATCGGGCTTTTCTCATATACTTTAAGTCATTGTCAGTTGATTTCGTTCGTGTTATGTCACTTTACGAGGCTTACGTACGTTATATACACTACGTTTGGGTGATTCACTGTCAGTTAACGTCTGGTTTATTTAGGCGTGTAAGAGTATGTCATGTTTACAGTGATCAGCTAACTCGGTTGGTGAGAGAGTATATGATTGTTGTGGATCTGTGTTTTGGTTCTTTCCCTCCTACACACCTTTCTTCCCTCCTTCTCTCCCTCCCTCCCTCCCACAAACCCTCTTTCCCTTCCTTCC